AATGCATAAACTGTACAATACTGTTATAGGCATACTGTGGTTGAGTAAGTAAATGCTATCTTAAAAAGAACAATCTTACCTGCTGGGTGATCCGCTATTGACGTGCTACTGTGTCGAAATGCTAGGATGTCATTGACAGTATGTGAGGGGGGCCAGTGCCGAAGCGGAGTACATGGAGTTGATGCTAAAACATGCTTCGAATTAGCTGGTGCGGGACATGGATATGGGTACAATGGGTTATAAATAGATCGATGATGTTCCTTACAGTCCAAACTACTCTGGAAATGGGTGCTGTTTTGCCCAATTTTGTTTCTTAATATTCGACTGATGGAGCTCACGGAAGGTACGTTGTATTTGTCACAAACACCATCAGCCAACAATTTGTCCCGAATCTCCCAAGCGAAAATACCAGGGTCTTTTTGTTTATATTCTCGTATGTTTTTAACAACTTTTGGCGTTGTAACTCTTGGTTTACTGCCTCCGATTGCGCCAGGTAAAATTGAACCAGTTTCGTTATATCGAGCTAGTATCTTGCTAACACAGCCATGGGAAACTCTAAGTTGTCGGCTGATGTCACATGGGCGAATTCCAAGCTGGGCTAACTCGACAATTCGTAGACGGATAGCATTTGGTAATGGACGACCGTTGACAAAGACTCCTCCTAGCTGATTTACTTCACCAAATGTTTGTTCTGCGGAAAACACACCATAAAATGCCATTGCTAATAATATTATCAGTAAATTACGAACATTATTGTAACAATTACTATTAAATAACATGGGCTCATTTGAAAGTTAGGAAATCAGCATGTCAGACTAGGTGATGGTGATAATTAATTTATTTGTAATCTCGGAGATACGTCAGCAAGTATGCGTTTATTGTCTCGTATAACTAATAGGTTACCTCAGTTATCTCTACAGCACCGTAAACATCTATTCAACAAGTTCTGAGCCCAATTTGGATGTAAATTTATACTTGCCAACAATATTAGCGTTGGTTTTCAGCGTCCTCAATTAATAATAGCTTGCGGGAAAGTTCAATCTACAATTCATTTTTCGACCATTAGGATCAAATTTGACACCAAAATGTGTTTGATTTTCGTTGGCACCGTTTCCGATTGCAAGTATAATTTATCAGCGTCAAGCATCGATCATCGGCCCAACGCTACGAAACTCTTATTTAAGGATACCTTGATTATTATTTAGGCTACTGAAAATGAGTTTTAGTTTAAACTAACTGGGGAAACAAGTTTATAGTGTTCAATTACCGACTGTATCAAAAACAAATAAAAACGAGCTACTCAACCACTCGTAGAGAGATACTTTCTTCTAATATCAGTTTTGAAAGCACATAACCGCAAACGGAGCGTGTCTAGTTAACACGCATGCACTTCAACGTTCAATTTACAACATTTGGAGTGAAAACTTTGATCGAAAGTCCATTACAGCACTAAAGGACAACACTCATATGACATATGACACATTATCAGTTAATTAACATTGTTCGGTCATTTAAAGTGTATACATTTCTAGGTACTTGAATATAAATTATGATTGGCCTTTTTACAACTTATCAAAAAAATAGATAACGATGGGAAAATAGATTAATAAATTAATTGATTAATTGATTAATTAACATTATCATTATTACCGTTATCATCACCACCGTCATAATCGTCGAGTATTCCGCAAATGCACACTGTTATTATATTCCTACTCTGGAGTCCTTAAGAGACTGTACCCACCAGAACCAGAACCATTGACATTGCGTAATATCACAGCTGTAGCAACCATCTAGTTCTCAATTCTCTACACCAACAAAACCCTTATTTACTGCAACGAAACGTTTTCAAATTTTCTACAGTAAATGAAGCACAAACTGTTTGTAGAGGACGATTGTATTATCTTTGATTGTTCATCAGGGAAAACCCCATCTATAGTCTAACAGGGAATCCCTAAATACTACGATAAGCATAATGTCCAAATCTAAATACTACTACTACAGCTGCTGCTACTATACTACTACTACTACTATTACTGCTGCTGCTGCTGCTGCTGCTGCTGCTGCTGCTGCTGCCGCTGCTACTACTACTACTACTACTACTACTACTACTACTACTACTACTACTACTATAGTAGAAATCTGACAGTCTTTACAAATTCGCAATGAGTTATACGAGGGAGCAGTCATCTTGCACTTAAGGCCAATTGTATAATAATACTATAGTAATAGGCCTATAAATATTGTATGATTAGTTAAGCGTCAAAGTTCGTCTATACAAATAAATGAACTCTGAGGCTTTGATTTCAAAAGTAACAAATTAAATTATTATTTTATGAATATAATGTATTCGCTTTATTTTGTGTCAAATTATATTTTTCTATATTATGCGCGGTTCGAAGGTGCATAGGACCTCATACCTCATATACGACCTCTTAGACACGTTCTTATGTCAAGTTAAATGTCTTACGGTACCAAACGGTCTGAGAATATATATATAAAAAGCAGCTTCCAACTCCATTACTCATTCCAACACATTTATTCAGTACTTCTAAATTACTTGAATTGTTTGTGTCTGTTGTAATAAAAATGTACTACGTAAGAAAATTAATCGAAGAGACAGCAGGAAAATGAGGCAAATCTCTGTATCCGTTATTTTTATACTACATGAAGAAATAATCTTTTGATGTTGGCAAGACACTTACCATGGTGTTTCTAAGCCATCTTCATTTTACATTTTACATGGGTCAATATAATAAGCCTAAGTGTCTTGGTATTTTCCCCGTCTATTTCTCTATCCTTTTAGACATATTCCCATTATAATAGCAATATAAATAATCAAATAAAGGTAAATACAGTGTTCGAATATATATATATATATATATATATATATATATACATATTGTGTACAATATATATTAATATATATACATACTTATATATGCATGTATATATATATGTATGTGTATATATAAGTATATATATATGTATGTATATATGTGTATATATATGTATATGTATGTATATATATACATATATATATGCATATATATGTATATATATCATATATATATATATATATATTGTGTTCGCAAGTTGCCATGTAATTTATTTTACCAGTATATTTTAATATAGGCCTATATTTATATAATTCATTTTTTCATTTCTATTGTTTTATTTTGGTCGTCATAACATAATAGGCTTACATAAAATGAAAAAAAAACTTAAACAAAATTCTTACATGATTAATGTAGATCAAATGAAATTATATTAAATACATTTGATAATATGTTGGTGCTAACAAGTACTTCTAACTACATTGTTTTTAATTTAGGTTTTTAAAAAGCAAGTGTAATGAAGACTAAATTTTTTTTTTTTAAATGCCCTTTTACATGAAGAAAAATAAATATATATATGTCATGTAATTTAATATTTAACAATTTCCTTCACCAATAAAATAATAATAAATTGTTGTTATTTCCAATCTCTCCCAATAGTATATTTTGCTTTGACAAATGCAATTTTATATGTAGGCCTTCCATTATCCAAGCTTCTAGCTCTCTCCAACTTTTATACACATACTTACAGTTCCAGAAAATATGATCAATTGTTTCGATGTGTTCTTTACTAAAAAATATCGAGAATGTCGGCATATTTTAATTTGTAAAGGTAGTTCCTCGTTGGCAATGTATAATTCTATACTGTAACCATCTAAGATCAGTACTGTGAGTACATTTAAACGGTAACATTTCTCCTTGTTTTAAATATATGTTACTATATCTCTTTTTACTTTGTCAGATTTACCTTGCCAAATAAAACTAAAACACATTTTCTGTAACTTGTCCAATGTGTAGCCTGAAGAGGACAATAAACGTGATTTTAATATAACGTTTTAAGCCAATTGGCGTTATCATACATGCTTTCCAAATATTCATATTTTGCTGAATTCTTAAATTTTCGACGTAGTTTAGGTCACTTGTGTTTCTATTATCAATAAACAATTTTAAATACACTATTGAGCAAGTCAATTTTAAAAGAAAATGATTTTCATTATTTTTTTAGGATATTGCATGGGACAATATATCTTTCAAGTAGGCCTATTTTAGAAAACACAATAAAAATGAGCAAATAGTGCTGCTGCTGCTACCATTACTAATTAGCGTGCAGCGGCAGCAGCAGAAAATACAGTAATCCTATACATGTTTGTGCGATTTAAACTGTGTTATGAAACCACAAATAAAATTTAATAATTTGAAATCTACAGGCGATTACACATAAAATTATGATACAATATGTGTATGTACGGTATACTGTACAATATATTACATGCATAAAAATGATTGCCAGTGGCATTATGTAATACGGTACTTATACAAGATACAAGATACAAGTCAACTTTATTGTCAAAAAATAAATTCTGAGATATTTTTGTACATAACATAGAATCGTTTATAAATGTGATAAATATCAATTAAAAATTCTCTAGTTTTATTTTAAAAAAATTGGAGTTTGTGTAGTAATCTTCTTAAGTTTTGATTAAATAAATTACAAACAATGTACAATAACTTCCTTAGTCTTCTTGGCATTTATTACAAGAAAATTCTCCTTACATCATACAATAAAGATTCAACATATTAATTAAACAAGGATATGTCATTTTTTGATATTAGACCAGTTAGACAACTGTCGTCGGCAAACTTATTAAATGCTTTACTTGGATCAATATTACTGTAAAAATCAGATGAGTTTAACGAAAAGAGCAAAGGCGACAGAACACACCCCTGTGGTGCCCCCGTTTTACAAGTCAACGACTTAGATAAACTACCCCTAAATTTAACAATCTGTGTTCTTTCATATAGGAAGTCAGAGATCCAAAGGTTAAGTCGTGCGTTTATTCCTAGATTTATATAAAAATATAAGATATAAGAATAAAAGGCAAAACAGTATAATATTCGGTTGTTATTATTGTTCTAAAAAATAAAAAGCTATAACATATATATCGATTGTTATTGCTGGCCAAATATTTGTATTATTATTTTTACTTCTATTGCTGTTGTTATTTTATTGTACACATGACCGAAGTACATAGGCCGAATCTATCATTTAAAAATTTAACAGTGGAGAAACTCGAAAATTAAAAATCGCTGATGTTTGCTCTTTAATTTTACAGTCCTAAGTTCAATCCTTGCAAAATATAAATAAAAATATGACTTTGTAATACGTCGATCCATGTAAATTTATTTATATTCAATTTCCGTAAAAATAGAAACCATTAAAACATTAAGAAAATTGACTTAAGACAAGTCGCATATAATATAAATAGGGTTTTAAAATGTATTAATGTCAAGTATCCATATCCATGGACTTCTAATGTACAAAAATAAAAATGTTTTCTATCACAGGATAAAAAAAAAATTAAGAAAGTGATTCTCACTTTTTTCAGCTAAATGACTGCAAGAGCATGGATAATTATTTAATATAAAAATGGTAAGCTCATTGAATGGCAAAAATTGGTTAAAGTCCTATTTCTTTCAGTTGTCCTAGTGAACATTCGGTAACCATTATAGTTACCGAGTTCAATGTCAATTTTACTTCTTATAAACCTAACCATAAATCCTGTCACTATTAGCACGACTATATCATGCTAAACAAAATGGATAAAACAGTACCGGTATGTGTCGATGGGATTATTGCAAGTGTCATTAAGGTATTGTATCACTTTCACACAATAATATGTGGTATTATAAGCCTACATTATAAGCTATTTATTATTACACCCTATGCTGGTATTTTGAATTAATCGGCGTAGGCCTATTTATAATAATATTGATGTTCCAATAAAATAATAAAATATAAAAGATATTAGATCTGCAATTTATTACAGGTCGCCTCATCTCAACTGAATTACACCCATTCTTACACTCATTCTTACATGTGTCTATAATTTTAGCCTAACTCATTTAATCCATGTTTTATCACTCTTACACAGTATGTGGTATAGGCCTACACTATAACCTATTTATTATTACACCCTATGCAGATGTTTTGAATTAATAGGCGTAGGCCTATTTATAATAATACTGATGTTGCAACCAAATAATAACAAATAAAAGATATTAGATCTGCAATTTATTACAAGTCGCCTCATCTCAACTAAATTACACCCATTCTTACACTCATTCTTACAATTGTTGATACTGTTAGCCTATTATTATTATTATTATTATTATTATTATTATTATTATTATTATTATTATTATTATTATTATTATTATTATTATTAAGAATATGCAATCAAATTAATACTGTCTTGTAGTATTTTCAATTAAGTTATTGCCTTTTCTGAAAACTAACTTAAGCACACAATACATTGGCCTATCTTTTCCGTTGTTTAACAGAAAGAGGCCTATTATTCTATAGTACTGTAATAAAAATTTGGTGTTCAGCATACAAATTCCAACATATACCTACCATTCCACATAATGTGTACATGTACCCACCATTTATATGCTATAACCTACAGATGATCGTATTCATAATGGACATTGACAATGTGCTGTGTAAGGCCGTTAAGTAGCCTACTGCATAATGCTGATTTTTTTTTTATGTTTTAAATCTTTGTCTTTGTCCTTATGTTTTCATTACCTTGCCTTGCCCCCTGCTTTTCAGGGTCTGAATGTGACCTAGGTTTTGTTTGAATGTTTTATCCTTTTGATTAAAGTGGTTGAAATAAAATTATATATGCCAAAAATAAAACCTGTAAGTAAGTTTATGTTGATTGTCTGTAAAACATGCATTAAAAGTTTTAATTAAAGTAATAGGCTACATACCTAACATTTATTATTTATTACAATTAGTCACAGGATTAACTAGGCCCATACTTAGGCCTAGTTATATATCCGCAAGTTCTATATTGCTCTGCAGACTTTACAAAACTTAACATATTTTGTAACATTAATCCGTAAATTATAAAATATTAGGTTATTCGATGTTGATTAGTATAGATAGTTTTTAAAACGGTTTAAAATGATTAGTTCGATTGATTTAATTATTTATGTTTAACAAGGACAAATAATAATAATTTAAAATTAAGACATAAAAAGAAAATTGAAATATTTGTCTTACCCATATTAATATGTATTGTCTCTTTAAACTTGTTACACACGATATTTAGATTGGTATTAATGGTTACTCCTATGCAGACAAAGATGGAAGTTGCATTGGGTCAGACAATTCTGTGACTATGTGAACAATGGAGGTAGTCTTGCATCAGTGAAATACGCTAACGGTCTGTGCTGAATTCAATGAGGCTGATGGAAAAGTGCGTCCAGATCCTAGCAAGTGATGACATAAAGTGTTTAAATATCAACTTGTCAAAGTGATACCTCACCGCCATGTAGGGCCTAGACCTGGTGTACTTTACCACCACGCGTTCCAAACTAATAACCGATAGCCTTCTTTGATTGGCCAACGCTTTTGCATTAAGGAAACCGACTCTTTTTTTTTCGGGAAACAAATTGACTTTGTTTTTCGTTTGGAAGAAACGTCGGACCTTTGGAAATTAAGTCTCCACAAAAGAAGCTGGTCTTGATTAATTTAAGATGTTGTGTAGTTCCAAACTATTTTAGTGGTTCGTGGTATTTAGCCCATCAATAATAGAAGTGCCAGGTACAAATCAATTTTTTTTAAATGATATTGATTACCTTAACTTTTAAAACTATAGTTTAAAAATATATAACAAACAAAATATTAATCATCTTATACCTTATGAAAACATATACAGCAATTTACACCGCATACTTAGGCTTGTAAACAATGTTTCGTAATAGCTAGACTCACGTAGTTTAAATATGTGATTTTTTTTTTTTTTTAGATAGTTAAAAAGACAAGTCTCATTCTTGATATGGTGCTCTACTAGATGGTAAGGGGATTAGACCGTTCTTTCTAAAAGAGAATAGTTGGGAGTGGCGCGTAACGGGAAGATAAAAGGAAAATTATTTATTTACAATTCATCAGCAATAGGAAATAAGGCTCATTATCGAGATTTTAACAACTCACATAAACATAATAATTAAACTAATGCGATGGTAACAACAACAACAACAACAACAATAATAATAATATTATTAATAATAATTATATTAACAATAATAATAATTATAATACCGATGATGACGATAATAATAATATAATAATAATAATAATAATAAATAATAATAATAATAATAATAATAATAATAATAATAATAATAATAATAATAATAACTAAGTGATGTTTTGCCCTACCTGACGTGTGATTTACTAAACATCATTTTTGTTTCAACATCTCAAGCAGCAGAAGCCTTGTCACCGTTACACCAACGTTTTCCACAGACCATCACACGTAACATTGATCACAATAGCCTACAAAGCATAGAGCAAATACACATTAAAATCTCACTCTCGTCAGCTAAACTTTCCTTTCTGCAAGAGGAAATGAAATCTAGTATGCTATAATAGTTGGAACAATTTCATACATGTATTTTATTTGTTTGTTTTTTTTGTGTGTGTGTTTTGTTTTACATGTTTTATTTGTTGTTGTTGTTTTGTTTTTTTTTTTTTTTTTTTTTTTTTTTTTTTTTTTTTTTTTTTTTTTTTTTTTTTTTTTATTTGATATATATTTGGGTTTCAAAAAAATTATAAGTATTAAAAAATCTAATTTCAGCTACTAGTACCATTCTCCTGTCTCTACTTTTACCATCTCTTTTTAAACGAACGGATCCGGTTATTTTAATACAAAGTAATCATTCAAAACAGGATGAATCGTACAACAGCAATAATATGACCTATAACTCTGCTTCTCAATCTTTTTCAGCTAGCGACCCACTATCAGACTCCCTATTCTTTGGCGATTCAAGGCATAGATATACTGTTGTATTTTTACAGTCAACTCGGCTAAGTCAATCACAAAGTGGCTGTGATAAATAATGGGGACTATACTAAGCAAAGTACACAAGGCATTTGTTATAGTCGTTCATGTGGGGAATGCTACATTATGGAGAATTACACACTCGTAATTTTAAAAAGTTTAATGTAAAACAATAAAACAATGACAGTTTTCAACTTATACACGGTCAGCTTTTTCTTTCTTTTTCATAAGCACCCTCATAACCCTCGGAAATGTTTTTGCGACTCAAATATGGGTCACGACCCATAGTTTAAGAAGCAGGGACAAAACATGTTCGGCTCAATTTAAAATATCACAATGTCTGTCGTGAAGTTGGACCTACGTGGAGTGTTGTTACATATTCAAACGACATATAAGGCCAAAGCCAACATTCTTATTTTCCCATAATTTAAATAGTTATGGATAATATAAATGTTTTATTTATTTGAATGATGATAGTCTCTTTATGATTGGCATCCGGAACTTGTATTTCATTTAGCATTGGCTTGGACAACAAATGGCTTTACTAGCCTCCGCCTACCAGGCTCTCTGA